TGTGTGTGTGTGTGTGTGTGTGTGTGTGTGTGTGTGTGTGTGTGTGTTTTAGGCAAGATACTTTATAGGTGATGCTGTTTACTTTCTTTTATATTACATCGTGCAGGATATTATGTCTGGTTGTCCCACTTTTAATGATGCTAAAATTAATTGGTGAGTTTAGTGTAATAGTAATCTGCATAGGGAAGCACCACTTTAATAAAATAACAAGATTTTAAAAACTAAACTAATGAAGGAAGAAGAAGGTGGGTAGGAGGTATGATTCAGGGCTTCTGTTCCCTTATCTGTAAAATATATTATGCATTAGAATTGAACCCCAATTGTCTGTTGTTGACAATCTTTAATGAGACAGGGCAAGTACTTCCTCTGTTCCCTTTTCTCAGTAATAGCAGGTTTGAGACCTCAGCCTTGCTTCATCTCTTTTTTCCTACGAATACTTGTTAGAGTAGTAAACTTAGGTAGTTAGGTGACTTGAGGTATAACATAGGTTGAGAAACACAGAAGATCTTGAAGGCCTTCCCAAATGACTTTCTATGACAGATTTCAAGTAATAATATTTAACTTTTTAAACAGGGCTCAACTCCACCAGTAACTGTTTTCAAAGGTTCAAAGAAACCTTACTTAAAGGAATGCATTTTAATTATTAACCATGATACTGGAGAATGTCGACTAGAAAAACTCAGCAGCAACATCACTGTAAAAAAAACAAGGTATGTAGGGGGTGCCTGGGTGGCTCAGTCAGTTAAGCGTCTGACTTCAACTGAGGTCGTGATCCCACAGCTCATGGGTTTGAGTCCTGTATTGGGCTCTGAGCTACCAGCTCAGAGGCTGGAACCTGCTTCAGATTCTGTCTCTCTTCTCTCTCTGCCTCTTCCCCATTCACACTCTGTCTCTCTCTCAAATATAAATAAACATTAAAAAAAAGTAAAAAAGTTGGGGCGCCTGGGTGGCGCAGTCGGTTAAGCGTCCGACTTCAGCCAGGTCACGATCTCGCGGTCCGTGAGTTCGAGCCCCGCGTCAGGCTCTGGGCTGATGGCTCGGAGCCTGGAGCCTGTTTCCGATTCTGTGTCTCCCTCTCTCTCTGCCCCTCCCCCGTTCATGCTCTGTCTCTCTCTGTCCCAAAAATAAATAAACGTTTAAAAAAAAAAAAAAGTAAAAAAGAAAAAGATATGTGGTTTATGAAATAAACTACTTTATCAACAAAGAAGTTGCTAAGGAAATATTAGTGAAAAAAAGTATTGGGTTAAGTCACATTATTATATAAAGTTTCTTTCTTTGTGGTACAAAATGTTTTAATCTTTTTCCAAGTTTAAATTTGGCGGAGATCCTTAGCCAAAAGCTTTTATCACTTCTTCCTATGATCTATGAAAGCTTTCTTTGTTTCTGAAAGTTTTCTATATGCGTAGGTATACATTTTACTCTATTGTAGATACTTTCATAAAGCTGAACTGAAAGAAGCCATTATACACTCTCCAAAATAATTTCATCATCATTAGTAAAAACTTATTGAGCACCTAGAATATGTAAAGAACTAGAAAAAGAAAATTTCCTATACAAATACTAGCTTCAACATGTCTGCATTTTAATTGGATTAACAGATCATTCCATTTAAAAAGTCAGTAAGAATATAGCTATCTCAAATTCTTGTTTGCAAATAGGTGGTGCATTGTCATGTAATGTAAGAGACCTACACTAATAGCCATACAAAGAATATAGGCAAAAATTGTTCTCGGACTTAAAGGAATCGAGAAGTTCTCATTGATTGGAACATTTGGGAGTCTTTACTGATGTCTTGAGAGGTTAAGAATTTGAAGGGATACATGTACCCCAATGTTTATAGCAGTATTATCAATAATAGCCAAATTATGCAAAGAGCCCAAATGCCCATCAACTGATGAATGGATAAAGAAGATGTGGTATGTATGTATGTATGTGGTATGTGTGTGTGTGTATACACACACACACACATATATATATATACACAATGTATATATATATGTGTGTGTGTGTATATATATACACACACAATGGAATGTATATATATATAACATATATAATATTATATATATATACACATACACACACAATGGAATGTATATATATATATAACGTATATAATATTATATATATATACACATACACACACACAATGGAATATTACTCAGCCATCAAAAAATGAAATCTTGCCATTTGTAACAATGTGGATGGAGCTAGAGAGTATCAGGCTAAGCAAAATCGGTCAGAGAAAGACAAATACCATATGATTTCACTCATATGTGGAATTTAAAAACAACAATCATTGCCAAAAAAAGAGAGAGGCAACCAAGAAACAGACTCTTAACCATAGAGAACAAACAGTTACTGGATGGGAGGTAGGTGGAGGATGAGTTTAAATAGCTGATGGGATTAAGGAGAGCACTTATGAGTACAAGCTGTTGTATTGAAGTGTTGGATCACTAGATTGTACACTTGAAACTAATGTTACACTGTATGTTAACTAACTGGAATTTAAATTACAAAAAGAAACAAAAAAAAAAGATTTAGGGCTTTTCCTCCCAAACATACTTGATAAGACTTACCATGGGTACTTGTTAAATGTGAGTTTCCAAATTCAACTTCAGATCAGGGAAGGACCCTTGGAAGCTCTTTTTTTATTATCCCCTTCCTGCTTAGGTAATCTTTATTGGTAGGAAAGTTTAGAAAATATTTAATTGATCAGAGAGAACATGAAGTTGTAGGCAAGGTTTGAAAGCAGGGATATATCTGACTTATTTGGAGCCAATGAGTAGGATCTGTTTAATAGAGCAGTAATTTGTTTCTGTGCCTGTGTATAAGTAGATTGACATGCTTACATTTGTTTAAAACATTAATCCACCAAACAAGCTGACTAAAATGAAACAATGTGGGAAACATAAAAATGAATAAACCACAATTTTTGAAGGTAGGAATGAAGAGAACAGTGAGGTTCTAAATATTCTGAAGGAAGAACTGACGGGATTTGGGTGATTGGCAATTGAAGAGACAGAGGTCAAGCATAATTGTATTATATACTCTGTTCGCAAAAGCATTGAAAAGAAAGTATACAAATCTCCTTTAGTAATGTGTCTTAAAGTTAGGAATAAAAAATATGAAAGAGGGGCACCTGGGTGGTTCAGTGGTTAAGCGTTCAGCTTCATCTCGGGTCATGATCTCACGGTTTGTGGGTTCCAGCCTCATGTCGGGCTTCTGTGTCTCCTTCTGTCTCTGCTCCTCTCCCATTCGTGCTCTGTCTTTCTCTCTCAAAAATAAATAAACATTAAAAAAATTTTTTTTAAATATGGAAGTGATTTTAACAAATGATAATTTTAGAATTTAGGGAGCATGTTGTACTTGTTATACACTTTTGTATAATTTCAGTTTATTTTAGTCATTTGTGTATGTCTCATCTCTTCAATTTTGAGCAGTTTTGTTTTTATTCACATCTGTATTCCCTCAGTGGATCTGTGTATATGCCATACATATAGCAGAGTTCAATAAGTGTTTGTTAAATAACTATTTGTTAAAAAATGAACTAAATTCATGCTTTAATTTTTGAATATCATTTTAAAGATTTCTAGAGAAAAGAATAAGTGGTCAATTTTAGTAACTTTGTTAGTTGTAATTGTTAAATTTCTATCATCCCTGTTTTGACCTTTGATATTCTGAATTGCAGAGTTGAAGGAAGTAGTAAAATTCAGTATCGTATAGAGCAACAGCAACAACAAATGCGGAATTCAGCTAGAACTCCCAATCTTGGAAAACATTCTCCATCTGAAGACAAAATGTCCCCAGCATCTCCGATGGATGATATTGAAAGAGGTAAAATCTAAGTTTATATATAATTCCCCTTATAATAAGTTATTAAGAATTACTGGGTGAAAATTTTTAATTAACAAGGGAGCTGATTTAAAATTTGTTTTAATGTTTATTTTTGAGAGAGAGAGAGAGAGAGAGAGAGAGAGAGAGAGTGTGTGTGTGTGTGTGTGTGTGTGTGTGAGAGAGAGAGAGAGAGAGCAGAAGAGGGACAGAGAGAGAGGAAAACACAGAATCTGAAGTAGGCTCCAGGCTCTGAACTGTCAGTACAGAGCCCAATGCAGGGCTCGAACCCATGAACTGCAAAATCATGATCTGAGCCCAAATCAGTTGCTTAACCGACTGAGCCACCCAGGTGCCCTAATGAGAGAACTGATTTTAAACTGTCATTGAGAGCATAATATTTTTTGTAATTATGGGTTTTTCTGGGGGAAGAATGTAGTTTATGATTTAGGGTATTATGTCAGTAAGACTATATCTGTAGAACAGAATTTATATCTTTTATTATTATCCAGGGTAAAAAAAGTGACTGTTTAGATATCTGTACTGGAGTTTCTTTTTTACAGTTGTGATGATTTAGATTGAATTCCTCACAGCATTTTTCTGTCAAAGTTATTTTATTTATAGCCAAACTGTAAATATCTAAGATGTCACTAGACCAATAGGGAAGTGAGGAGATGTAATAACATATAGTAAGTTCTTCTGAATTGCGGCTCACTTCTCAGCAGGAAGGTGTTTCTAGGGAGACATAGTCCTTTTGAAAGTAAGGAAACTGAAATCTCCATTATTTTTTTCTAGCTTCAGGCTGGGTGTCTGTGGTATACTAATTGTGGTAGGAGTAAAACTCTGGTCACCTGGTTACAAAGTATATTTGCTTCTACACTTTTCTTTCATAATTTGTATATAGTTCTCCAATTCCACTTGCTCCATTCTAGGCCCACTATAGCATTAGTTCCCCAACATATTAGTGTTCTTTTTACAAACAGCAAAGAATATACACACTTAAAACCCTTGTTTCTACAAGGAATCTTGAATTTTATTTTATTATTATATCATATCTGATTCCAAAATGGATTTGAATTATGATGTCATTCTATTCATGTATATAATAAAATACTGGAATAGAAAATCAAGATATTGAAGGGGAAGAGGATTTGCTAATTATTTAAAATTATTTAAAAACAGACAAATACCATATGATTTCACTCATACGTGGAATTTAAGAAACAAAAAACATAGGGGAAGGGAAGGAAAAATGAAATAAAAACAGAGAGGGAAGCAAACCCTAAGCTATAGAGAACTGAGGGCTGCTGGAGGGGCAGTGGGTGGGGGGATGGGCATTAAGGAGGGCAGTTGTGATGAGAACTGGGTGTTACATGTTAAGTGATGAATCACTAAATTCTACTCCTGAAACCAATACTACACTATATGTTAACTAACTTGAATTTAAATAAAATCTTGGAAGAACAAATAATAATACAGTGCAAGAAGAAATCCCTCTTTGTTTTTTAGCAGAGACCTTAATAAAAGCACTGTATTGAAGCATTGGATTCTAGAGGATAAGTTATCATCATCTTATAAGGTTTAATGATTTCAAGGTCTAATTTTATATAAGAAATTACCTTGAGATGTTTGTATAGCATGTTATCTAGACTGTCTTCTTTTAAATATTTTCCTGACCCTTCTATGCCAATGTCTATTGCTATGGTTGAATCATCTTTTCAAATTTATGACTAGATGTCTGGCAATTGTACTAGTGTTTCTGTGGTTTAATTTACATTCACATCTTTGAGCTGTCTGGGATTTTTGTTTAAAAAATAAGATGAGGGACACCTGGGTGGCTCAGTCAGTTGAGCATCTGACTTTGGCTCATGTCATGATCTTGCAGTCCATGAGTTCAAGCCTCATGTCAATCTCTGTGCAGATAGCTCAGAGCCTGGAGCCTGCTTCGGATTCTGTCTCCCTCTCTCTCTGCCCCTCCCCCACCCACATGCATGCTCTCTCTAAACAAACAAACAAACAAACAAACATTTAAAAAAAAAGATGAGAATCCAAATTTCTCCCTTCCCCAAGAGTATGGATAAATAGGTATTAACAGAGAATTAATAAATATGGTATTGTTAGAGAGTGTATATTGATACCCATTTATTGATATCAATTGATATAATTGATATATATATCAAATGATATAAAGACATGATTTCTTCTGATATGAATACCATTTTTTTCAATTTTTTATTCAAATTCCAGTTAATCAACATATAGTGTAATATTAGTTTCAAGTGTAGAATTTAGTGATTCATAACTTACATGCAACACCCAGTACTCATCACAGGTGCCCTCCTTAATACCCTTCACCCATTTTACCCATCCTTCTGTCCACCTCCTCTCCAGCAACCCTCAATTTGTTCTCTAAAGTTAAGAGTATGTTTCTTGGTTTGCCTCTGTTTCTTTCCCCCATACTGATCTGTTTTGTTTCTTAAATTCCACATTTGAGTGAAATCATATGGTATTTGTCTTTCTCTGACTTTTTTGCTTAGCATAATATTCTCTAGCTCCATCCATGTCATTGCAAATGGCAAGATTTTATTCTTTTTTTATGAATGGTTAATATTCCATTGTGTATATATACCACATCTTCTCTAGCCATTCATCAGTCATTGGACATTTGGGCTTTTTCCATAATTTCGCTATTGTTGATAATGCTGCTATAAATATCAGGGTGCATGTGTCCCTTCGAATCAGTATTTTTGTATCCTTTGGTTATATACCTCGTAGTACAATAGGTGGATCATAGAGTAGTTCTCTTTTTAACTTTTTGAGGAACCTCCATGCTGTTTTCAAGAGTGGCTGCACCATTTGCATTCCTACCAACAATGTAAGAGGATTCCCCTTTCTCTGCATCCTCCCCAACATCCGTTGTTTTCTGTGTTGTTAATTTTAGCCATTCTGACAGGTGTGAGGTGATATCTCATTGTAGTTTTGATTTGTATTTCCCTGATGGTGGTATTGAGTGATATTGAGCATCTTTTCATGTGTCTGCTAGCCATTTGTATGTCTTCTTTGAAAAAAGTCTTTTTTATCATGTTCAGAATTTCAATATGGATTTAAGTCTATTTTACAACCTAAGATATGCAAGGGCCAATGAATATGTGAAAAATTGATCAGACTCACTAGTGCTTTCAAAATGTAAATTGTAAAATTAAGGAATATTTTTTTCACTTATGAGCTTGGCAGTAACTAAAATATTTGTTAACATCCACTGCCAGGTGAGGAGAGAAAGAGAAATAAGTAGGTAACTACTGACATCTTTGGAGTCAGACTGCTGACGTTCAAATCCTGGCTCAGTCACTTAGCAGCTGTATAGCCTGGGGAAATTTATTTAACCTCTTATTTCTCTTTGTGTATGTTTCCTCATTTGTAAAATAGAGGTAATATTAGGGTTGTTGAGAGGATTAAAGAAATACCTATAATGTGCCTAAAGCAGGCACTGGGAAATGTTAAAATATTAGCTATTATTTTAACTCCTTTTTTTTCTTGTTCCTTTGTTTATTCATTCATTAATGTCCGCTCTTTAAAAAAAATTCTTCCTTTCTTTGACTCATTTTGAGTTTGCTCTGTTATTCATATAATTGGATGGTAAGCTCATCTATGTTGAATTTACTTTTTGTATTCATTTAAGAGTATAAATATATCTCTGAGTATCACTTTAACTGCATCAGTAGATGAGTAGCTCTTCCACTATAGTTGAATTCTAAAAATCTGTGTAACTTCAACTCTTTGACCATTATTTATAATTATATTTTATGGTTTCCAAATATGAGGAATTTAAGAAAAATCTGAAGGTGGGGGCTTAAAACAATAACAACATATTTTCTGATCATAAATCATCAATTTGTGTAGAGCTCAGTGGAAATAGTTCGTTATTGTTTCACATGGCGTCAGCAGGAATGACAAGTCTAACATCTGGAATTATTTGAGGGCTCAGTTGTTCACAGTGTCTGCCAATTTGATGCTGGCTTTGGCCTAGACCTTTCCAGGGGTTGTCAGCTGGAAAACCTACACATGGTTTGTGCTCCAGGTGGCTAGGACTTCCTTACGACATAGTGGCTGGGTTCCAAGAGTAAATGTCAAGATAGGAAAAAAGAGGAAAAAGAGGATACAGGAGAGAGAGGTGAAAACTTTATCTTTTTAATTGCATGGTTTCAGAAGCCTAATTTTTTGATGCTATTATAAATTCTTTTATTTTGGGGTGCCTGGGTAGCTCAGTCAAACGTCCAACTCTTGATTTTGGCTCAGGTGATGATCTCATGGTTTGTGAGTTCAAACCCTGCATTGGGCTCTCTGCACTGACAGTGCAGAACCTGCTTGGGATTCTCTCTCTCTGTACCTCCCCCACTCACTCAAAATAAATAAAAAAAAACTTCCTGTTTCTCTCAAAATAAATAAATAACTTTAAAAAATGCTCTTATTTTATCATTTTAATTTCTAATTGCTCATTGCTAGTCAATAGGAATGCAACTGATTTTTGTGTATTTTTCCTGTATCTTTTAACTTCGCTAAACTCACTATTTTAATAGTTTTTTTTTTGTGGATACCATCAGATTTTGTACATACACAATTATGTCATTTGTGAATAATGACAGTGTTACCTCTTTCTTTCCCATCTGGATGGCTTTTATTTTATTTTTTGACTTACTGTACCAATTAGAACCTCGAATACAATATTGAATAGAGGTGGTATGAGTGAAAAGCCTCCTTCTTCTGACACTAGCAGGAAAACAGTCTCTTAGTATTTTGTACGATTTAAGCTGTAAATTCTTCCTAGCTGTCTTTCACCAGTTTAACTCCCTTTTACTTCTCTTCTGCTGAGAATTTTTATCAAGAATGACTTGAAATTTGTTAAATGTTCTTTTTGCTCTTTTGAGATGGCTTTTACTTTTTATTTTTTAATATAGTGAATTATATTGATTGATTTTTTTGAAGGTTTGTATCCCTGAGAAAGC